TGTATTATTTAAATCAGTCAAATGGAGAAAAACTTCTAAATGAAAAGCTCATCAAAAGGGGTTTATTTAATGTGTTGTTCAGAAAATATCTGTTTGTAAAGAGGAGCATGAATTAAAACCTCATTATCAGATAACTTCCCTTTTTGCTTTGATTTCAGTCCATATTCGCACATTAAATTTCCTTCAGTACAAACTAGTTTCCCATCTTCCCTCCCTCAGAATTTAAATTTTTACTTCTGTAGGTGAACTAGACATTTACTAATTAATGCAATACATTTAAAAATACTTTGTTGAATTAATTTATAGTTATTTATTAGATTACCGATACAGAATAATGCAGAGGACCTACTTAGACAGTTAAATAGTGATTGGACTTGAGTGCAGTCAAAGTCCTCTCAGCACACTATTTTACAAATAAGATAATGGGGATATTCTTTCATTTACATAAAATTCAAGTAGTCTTCTCAGTAGTTTTGTTTTCTTTTTTTATTTATTCATTATCTAGATTTTTTTTGTTTGTCTATCCTACCTATTTGCTAAACAAGAGATTGCTAAGTGTTTGCAAATCAGAAATTTATAAATTGCTGGTACTTTTACACTTTACCTCTGTGGGAACAGTTAACGTAAACTTTCTTTCCGGATACTTTGGCAAAAATTTGTTATGAAACAGCTTCTTGATGATAATCATAGCTTTACCTTGAAGAAGCTTGGCAGAGATATTTGTCTTCCAACATTTATTGGAAACATTTCATATTTTTGCTAAAAATATTCCCACAAAATAGATGAAATTACCACTTATCTGTTACAATGAAACGCACTTGATACAACTATCAAAACAAATCTAATGTCTGTCTTAGGAATACAGAAAAACCAACCGCTGACCTTTGACCCAGTTGATTTTTTTTAAATGCTACAAAGTATAAATAACAGCCAGTAGTTATTGATACAAATGACGATTTGAACAGAGCATGATGGATAGCTAACCTGAATATGCTGATTCAACCTGCTTGGGAATGTTCAACAAAATTTAAATGCCTGTTCAATCCACACATCTACTTACAAATTAGCTTGACCAAAGTTATTTCTGTGAATCGTATTACAATTATTGAAAAATAAACAAGGGGAAGTATGCAATGTGCATCAGTTTTCAATTGGTATAGAATGGGAAAATGTGTATTTATTATTGATGCAAAGTCTGCAGCTAAAAAAAAACACTCTGTTTATTTATTAATTAATAATTGTAAGTAATTGAATTTGTCATTTAAATAAATTATTTCCCTATTGATGGGCAATTCATCTGGTGTTTTTCAAATTGAAACGCAGACAAAGCAGTTAATTTGTTATAAGGAACTTAGGACGTATCCTTTTCAAATTTATTTGAACTGTGTTGAAGAATAACTGATAGACTTAATTTTGGATTTCCAATGCCACAGGCAAAAATGTAATTACTAAACCCATAAAGATATAATGAATGAATGTGTTATGTAACTGCAGGACCAAGAAATTGCAGCAAATAATTATAACCACTATTTTTGACATAAAATTTCAAAGCACACTCTTATGTTGGGAAGAACTATTTATTGGGTAAGCATCCTAAGGATCCTAAGAAAAGGAAAGTTAAGTTTCAAATCACATTGTAATTTTATTTTGTAGCCGTTTCTCGTTTTAATAACTAGCTTTCTAACATTAAAATTGGATTGGTTGAAAATGAAAGCTTTTTGGTGTGATTTTATAACCTAACTTAGGTCGGTTTGAGAAAATGTGAGAACCTGCTGACTGTGAATCGGTGAAATGCGAACTTTTCTTTTAAATATTTATCTTATTGTATTTGGGGAATTTATACACTTAGCCTAAGTCACTTTTTCGAAAGGTTTTATTGACTTTTAGCAAACGTTAATCACAATTTTTCACCGATAGAAGGAAAATAACGAGTTTAATGTTTTTTTACAGCTGTTAAACATTGATTATATTATGCCGGCGCTTTTTACGTTTTGTCCAATTGTTTATTTATGATTTATAAAGTTATTGAAAGGTTAACTATTTCAATAAAACCGTCTTGAGACTCAAGTAGCCTTGATAGGTAGTAATTAAGGCATTACTGGTTCGAGGGTTAATGTTGGTATTTATTTGTAACAAGGGAATTGTTTAAATATTTGTGAGAATTTTGTCAACTTTGTAATCATATGATTCAGTTATTGTTGGGTGAAATAAAATTTTTCTTAAGAGAAAAGTCTAATTCAAATTTGCAAGTGAATTGATTAAATAGAGTACACATCTCATGGATTATTTAAAACCCCGACTCTTTGGACGTACCTGAATTGTTTATTTTCATGACTCAGCAGAAGAGTTACACCCTGAACAACTGAGTAGAGGGTTTGACCTTTAGTGCGTCCCAAAGCACTCAGTTTCTCCGCCTCCAAATTTCATCATAACATAACCAAAGTAAAGCGCGCGCTCTGAATGGTCAATTTAGCGTCCCCCATTTGCCCATAGGTGTACGCAGCTGACGTGAGCAAATGCTAAGACTATTTTTCCGCGCTTGCTTGTTTTTTCTGGTCACGTAAGATTTGTTAAATAAAAGGGAACTCTTTAGCTACAATGTATCAATGTTATGTTATAAAACAAATGGTAAACACCACAGCGTACACTATTGAGTTATGGATGCACTTGGGAGGTTTGCTAAGCACTCAAGAAGCTAGAGTCGCTCTCGACTATCGCCTCGAGCGACTCTTACGCTTCTTTCGTGCTTAGCAACCTCCCGCGTGCATCCATAACTCAATAGTGTACGCTGTGGTGTTAACCATTTTTAACTCTCGTATTCTTGGCTAGCTCAGTTTCGATCTGGGTACGGTAGGTGTTTGTGAAAGTAGTCTGGTTGATGGAAGGGAGGCCTCCTCTGGTGTATTGTAAATTTCATTGTTATACAGTAACAAACTTGTTGCGGTTGATAACAATGCTTCTTTTTCATTGGCTCGTGAATGACAGCTTTGTTTTGAAACAAAAGGTCCCACCTGATTAGAGCTCTTTTGTGAAGAGGTTTATTTCAACACGATATTGCCGTGTTTATGAGTTTTAAAACATAGAAAAGCAATTGAATTACATATTGCCAAACGAAAGAAAACTAATCTCAGTTTTAACAGCTTCCAGTGCTCCGTTTGTCTAGACTAAACGAATCGGCAGAAGCAAGATGCCGGGGTTACAATATTGGTGGAATATTTACGATTTCACCTGTTGACTTATTAGCATGTGTTTACATAGTTTGTGTTCACAGGTTCGCCGCAAGCCGCTGTTCTCATTATTAAACCCCATGTAAATTTAATATCACCAGACATCGCTATAACAACATCGCGTCACCCAGAAACATTCATGTTTGGTTTACGTGGCTATTAGCAGTGTTTTCTCCGGGAAGTTGTTATTAAGACATTGAACGTTGCATGTTCGTCTGTCGTTTAGAGGAGCGGAGATGAGTGGTGAAGTTGCGGCACATTCAAGAAACTCCTCTCTTGGGGGAGGGCCGACAATGATTGGGATGATAAGAGCTAGAAAACTCGCCGTTAAAATAAAAAAGCGAGCGCAGTTTCTGGTTGCTGACAGAACGCGGAGGGAAAACGCGGGAAGGACAGCTGTGATTCACTGGGATTTCCCGAGAAATTTCCGTCGTGATGAGCCGACATCGAGACTACACGTTCCAAGCGGCAGATCCCCAACGTCGTCGCGCTCTCCGAGCGTGTCGTCTCGTTATGGTTACACACACCCGAGTCAAACGCCAAGAAACACTTACCGACTAGAACCGGTTAGCCGATTCTCCGAGCCAAAAGTCAAAGAAGTTATTGAAGACGTGTTAGATCAAAATTTACACGGCCATACCTATGAGGCGGTATTTTGCAAGGAAATGACCAAAAAACTGTCTGATGCAATAAAGCAACGAGTGAAGTTCCTAGGATTTTCACGATACAAGTTTATTTGTATCGTTCACATGGGACAAGTTAATAACCAAGGAATGCGAATTGGCAGTCGATGCCTTTGGGATCAAAAGTTTGACAATGTCGCAGAGGGATATTTTAGGAATGGTGACCTATTTGCAGTTGCTACGGTTTTCGGTGTGTACTGTGAGTAACTCGTACATTTATTAATTTAAAGACTGAAAGTGCGCGGGTGCAAAGTAAAATTGCAAATTTGCATTGTTATTCCTTATCGCTCTCTTCAAAACATACATAAAAACAAGTTTTGTTTCTGAGTCTGGTAGGTTTATGATCATAATAGAGAGCATCAGTAGAAGGCGAGATTCGATATCGTATTCTGAATGCAAATTTGCCAACGAATCGACTTGAATACAATTTCGAAACATGGTGACGAATATTCAAATAGCAGTAACTTACAAACAGTTATTATGTTATTGAAACTGATTTAAGATACCCCCTCTAGACTTAAGCTTTCTTATTGTGGACGAAAAAAACGCACTTACAGCTGGTTTAGTACGTCACGCTATCAGGGTCTATCAGAGCTTCAGTCATGAGAAGCTTGCAAAGTAAACGC